GGTGCTGTTGTCCCCACCGGGGACACTTGGGGAGACCGAGGCGTCGGGGGTGTGTGCTGGACCTCACAGCGGCGCGGTTCCTCGGGGCTGTGCGCCTGCAGCGCGGAGACTGTGGAGCTTGTCCAAGGTCAAGGGAGGAGCACAGAGGGTGACAGGTCCAGCCCGGGGCTCCAGACGTCAGCCCCACGTGCGAAAGAGAAAGTGGCCGCCTGTGACCGCAGCCTTCTCAGGCTTCTCCGTCCCCATGTCCTCGGCAATCACACTTGGGAATCCAGGAGAAAGATGACCTAGAATAGTCCTACGGTGACCTCAGCGTGACGTTTAAAGCAGCAGCTCCTGGGGTGAAAGGTCAACCCCAGGCTGTGACCTCGTTGAGCTTTAACAGAGACGGCTTCGGGTTAGAGTTACATATGGGTCCCCCTATCCCCGTACAGGACACGCCTGTTGGCTGTGTGACCTTGGATCATTCACTTGACCTCTCTGATCCTGTTCCTGCTTCAGACTCGGGAGACTTCCTGAAAGGGACTTCACAAAGGCACTTAGGACCACACCCGACTTACACAGGGTGTTGAGTAAATAGTGGAGCGATACCTTCTTGGTGCTGAAAGTCAGAACAGGGACCACAGCATGTGCGGGTTGCCCCGGGATTCTGGGACAGGCGGACCACAGACTGTCCACACACGTCCGGACCACCCGCTCCCTTCCCACCGAGAATGACTGCCCGTCGTAGGCAGAGTAAATACCCGGAGGACCTCGTCCTACTCCCCGCGGCCTGTGAATAGTTACTTCATGGGGCAAAGGAGCCTGGACAGGTGCGATGGAGGTGGAGGACGCTGAGAGCAGAAGGGATGATGCAGGTGCGCCCAATGCAATCACACGAGCCCCGGCACGCGCAGGACGCCGGCTGACAGCAATCAACGCAGGGCGGGAGGCGGGAAGACGCGCCGGGAGACGACCCTCGCTGGCTTTGTCGCTAGAGGAGGGGGCCGCAGCCCAGGCACGCTGGCCCCCCAGAAGCTGGAGACAGCAAGGAGCTGGTTCTCCCCCGGAGCCCGGAGCAGGGCGCAGAGCCTGCGGGAACCTTGACTTCCCCCCGGGAGACCCGTCCTCCTGCAGAACCGTGAGCCGCCTCGTCCCAGCAGTCGCAGGAGGCTCGGGCCCTGGGCTGGCCGGTCACAGGGTGTAGGGCCTGTTTTTGTGGTATTTCAGGTTAAAAATAGAAGCCGGTTGGGAAGCACTGGTGAGGCAAGAGAGAGCAGGGCCCGGTGGACCATGCGGTGAGCGGCACGAACCCCTCGGAGGAGGCTCGGAGCCGGTGGGCAGCGCCGTGAGCACCGGCTGCTGTGCGCGGGGTGGGCTCTGGCGTCGAAATACCGAGAGGTGCCTGGACCCACCACAGGGTGCTCACGGGGCTCCAGGAGGACGGACGCCACAGCACACTGTCCCCTAAGGGAAGAGGGGCGTCCTCCCATGCCGCGGGCTTCAGGCACCGTGGAGATGGGGCAGATTGAGAAAACCCGCGGCTCAGGAAACATGAACAGTGAGACTCGCGGCGCAGGCTGGAGGGACGGACTGGGGACGAGACAGAACTCTGCAAAGTCACGGGCAGCTTCCTGTCTCCAGAGGCCCGAGCAGCCTGGCATGGAGATGACCGTCATTCCCGGTCTGTCCTCGGGCGTCTCGGTCAGCCTGGCTGGTGGACAGTCGCGGACGGGCCATCGTCAGCCCCCTCCAGCTGGGAGGGGAAGACACGGGAACTCAGAAGCTAATGAACGAGGTCAGGAGAGGCTGGTCACCACTCAGGGCAGCGCCCCCTCCCATCCCTGCCAGCATGGGGTCCACCACACCCGCTCATCGGCTTCATCTGCCTGTCGGACCCACCCCCACCTGCCAGCCACAAGACAGCAGCTCTCACTGGGTCCCTGTAGTTGGTGGGAGCCGTGAGGACTGCCCATGAACACTTCTCTTTCTGGGAGAGAAGAGCTTTCAGCAGTGCTAACTCGGCCTGCGGAATGCACACCTGGCCTCCCCACCTCCATCCCACCAAGAGGACAGCACACTGGTGGGTTCACACGGGCTTGGCCCTGGCCTGGTGCCCCAACCTCCCAATGCCCGCGAGGGAGGCACCAACGTGCGGGGTCGGCGGGGGTGACACGGGAGACTCGGAAGGGCCCAGGTGAGTCGCACGAGTCGAAGTGGCGAAGACTTGAGCCCAGGTAGTGTGATTTCAAGGGCCGTATTCTTGACCCCTCCGCACAACCGACCCCAGTAATGATCCTGTCGACTCCATCACAGGGGAGGCCCCGTCCTGATGGGCTGAGTTCAAGCATGCACGATGCATGGGACATTTTTCCTTTGCTTCTGGGGTTCATCCCTGGGGATGTTCCTAGGCTTGGCGCACCCCGCTTCCCCGGCTGGGTCGCAGGCCTCATTGTGACCTCTGACTCCCCTTTCAGGATTCAGGCACACGTCCACACGTCCACATGTCCAGACAGCTTGGCGAGCTGCCTGTGCCCATCTCACATGGCTGGGGACTCCCCCACACTTTATTTTAATTAAAGAGAAAACAGACTAAATTTTGCAACTAAATCTTGGGCCTAAAAACAGACTAAATCTTGGGCCTTAAAAGCAAAGCTGAGCTATAAAAATCCAAGTTGGTCTCTCTGCTGTGGGACAGCACAGCAGATAACTGGGCCAGGTTGCTGTCAGAGGGGATGGCGTTCCCCAACTAAAGACCCTGCCTTGGCTCATGCCCGTCCAAAACTTTATTTCTTCCATCTTCTTACTTGGTCCAAAACTCCTGTTATATGGAAAAAAGCCTTCATTTTTAATAAAGCATTTGCTTTTATTCTCTCTCTTAAGTTGACTCAGAAGGCAAATAGCCCCTGAGTTCATACTAAAGTGTACATGACTGGTGGTGTGTGGCAGCCCCACGCTGGCGGGGACAGGAGGGGGTGCGGCCCTGAGCGGGGACTGATCCTTTCCCCGTAGCAGGTTTTCAGAGGCGAGAGGGCCTGAGGGACCCTGGGCTCTGGGCATCAGAAGGCGGGAGGAGCAGACGTCGTGCGGGTACGTGGTGGCCTGACGTGAAGAAAGGATTTCCAATCAGGAACGGGAGGCTCTGGAAATGCGCCCACGGCCTTCTCCACCTCCTGCTCCGGAACCCTCCTGTCACCGCGGAGGACCTGGCGCCATCTGTCCCCACACGCAGGTACTACACTCTTCCTGTTTCCCGGTCCTTGCCCTCTTGGGGACTCAGTTGGTTTATACCTGCCAGCTCAGGCCTCTCACTCCGTCCCCCCCCCCGTTTCTTCTCTCTCCCTGGCCCCCCTCCCCTCCGGCAGCCTCGTGTCCCCCAGAGGCAGATGTTGTTGTTGTTTGTTCATTTTGTTGTTGTTGTTTTCCTCCTTGGGTAAATGCCCAGAAGTGGGTTACTGGGACATCTGGTAGTTCCACTTTTATTTTGGGACAGTTCTGTCTAATACAACATTTACAGAAACAGCACCAGCCTTGGGTTCTTATCTAAATCATTATGTTCGGAAGCAAGTGCCTTTATGACCTGTGAGGAAGCCAGTGCATCAGCGTAACTAAGGGTAGACCAAGGTGAAGGCACTCTTCTTCAGTCAGACGAGGTGTTTTCACTGAAGACCTAATGTGGAGGAAGTCACAGCGTGATTGAGTTGGGGCCCAGGGACGGCTGCCGCGATCACGACCTTAGGGCAGCTTGAACAACCTGGCAGGGAGGTGGGGAGCATCCGCACGCGTACAGGGAATGGATTGCCCCATCTCAGCATGTCCACATCTCATTTCCCCTTCAAGGTCTAGCTCAAAGTCGACCTTCTCCAGGAAGCCTTCCTTGATTGCACCTACCCCCACCATAGTTTTTTTCCTCCAGACTCCTATAGCATTTTGTCTCAACTGCTATTATTTTTTTAAAGACTTTATTTAGAGAGAGGGGGATCACAAGCAGGGGGACTGGGAGAGGGAGAAGCAGAATCCCCACTGAGCAGGGAGCCTGATGCAAGGATCGATCCCAGGACCCTGAGATCACAAGCTGAGCCGAAGGCAGACACTTAATGACTTAGCCCCCCAGGCGCCCTGAACCACTATTAACTTACCTCCAGGAATCTCGTACTCATGACAGCACCTGGAGTGTTTTGCATTTTTAGAAATCACATGAGACACACCAGGAGGGACCTGAACTACTGACCGTAGCATCTCAAAGGCATCATTTACATGCTAACACATGTCCGTGTCACACACGTGGAGGCACACATTTATACCCGAAACAGCCGCCCTTGCAGAACATGTAAAGGTACAGAAGTGAGCACACGCAAAGATCATTCAGTGACATCATCTTGTGCACGTAGTCAGATAAGGGGGACCAAGGCACAGGAATTTAAGCCCACCCCCGCTCCCTGACCAGGGCAGCCACCTGGTCTAAAAACCCTCTCTGGAGGGTTTCCATTCCTCATCTGTGAGCCGGACCTGGGACCTGGTTGTTCCCCGCTTGGACCCCACCCTGCTCCGTCGTGGGCCAGCTGGGTGCCCCGGTGGGAGAGCCTGATGGCTCAGGCTCGCCAAACACCGCACTTGGGCTGAATCCTAACTGCCCCCTTCTTAACCTGTGACTCGCACAAGTCCTCTCCCTTCTCTGGAGATGATTTCCCCTGCAGAATACAGGAAGCCAGCATCCCAAGGCCGCGTGAGGTTATAACAGATGCACAGCAAGTTATGTCCAGGACGTAATAAATATGTGACTGATTGTTTATTATTGTCACCGTCCACATTGCTCTCCTCGTCCTTCCCACGGGGCGTCCAGCACGCAGACTTCTCTAATCCACGGAGGCCGGAATCCCATCCCCCAGCGGCTGTCCCAGGACGCCCACACCAACCCTGCTTGCCGACCCCCGACCCAGACGCGCTCTCCTCCCAGCAAGGGCGGCTGTGTGCAGAGCCTCTAGAACGGGGCCCCCTGGTCCCAGGCTAATGACGGCTAACCCGGCCATGCCCCTCCATGAACCAACACAGCCCCGGCGACGTCCCTGACTAGAAGACGTAAGCCACAGACAGCGGCTGACCGTCTCCTTCGGGAGTAACCCCCCGTGCCTTCTCCTAGACCACACAACTGTGCCAAAGTCAGTCTCTAACCAAAACCCCAAGAGCAAAGAAGAGCAATTTGCGCTTATTTTTTCCTACTGAAAGCGACCCCTCCCCCTGCCCCCACCCGCCGGGTCTGGGGGACTAAATCACTGGAACGTTGCAACAGCGTCGGGGCATAATGTATTACTTCACACTCCCGATGGGGCAACTGTTGCAGACGTGGCTTTTATAAGGGACCAGAAGAGAGAGCAGTGACTTACCCACTATCTGGGGAGCTGGAAACACCCACAGCGGAGGGGACTCCTCCCAGAGGAAGGCCAGGAGGGCAGCGTTTGCAGAAAAGGCCATGTTCCGTCTGAAGACGTTGCCTCTCCTGATCCTCCTGTCCGTGCGGCTCTCCCAGGCCTTCCCAGTCCCTGGGGGGTCCCCAGAAGAGACGGACGCACAAGTCGTTCAGGTAAACGAGCTCTCCGGTGGGTCGGTGGTCGACGTGCTGGTTCTTAGGCAACTGTATGGCTTGTTTCTACTTTTTAATTAAATCAGCCTGAAAGAAGTTATGTGGAAGCTGTTTGAGCTCAAACATCTCGTTTCCGGGATCTGGAGGGTTCCTAGCTGGAGATCCATTGAGAGAAGGAATGGCTTTATTTTATTTTATTTCTTATTGTGTCATGTTAGTCACCGTACAGTACGTCATTCGTGTTTGATGTCGTGTTCCATGATTCATTGTCTGCGTATAACCCCAGTGCTCCATGCAATCCACGCCCTCCTTAATGCCCACCACTGGGCTCGCCCATCCCCTCCAAAACCCTCAGTCTGTTTCTCGGAGTCCATAGTCTCTCATGGTTCATCTCCCACTGATCCCTCCCCCTTTGTTTTTCCCGTCCTTATCCTAGTGTCCTCCATGCTATTCAAGAAGGAATGGTTTTAACTATGAAACTAAGTGGTTTTCTTTCTCACTCACCTAAGATTCTCCCCATCCGTTATATGCAACCCAGTTCCTCCATGTCTGATGCTTTCTGTACTATCTCTGCAGCCAGAAACCTCAGGGGAACCAGAGAGTGCGAGGACGGGCTTTTAGAAGGAACTAGAAGTCAGTTCTTGGTACAATGAGATTTCCTACAGCAGATTCTGCTTCTAAATACATGTTTATAAATGTTTATAAAGCAAAACCACTAGTTATTTTCCATCATTACACAAAAGTCAGGCCAAATTTTGAAGAAACACCAGGGAATGCTGTCACAGATTTGTCACACGTCATTTCCTTAGCATTGCAGTTGTAGAAAAGCATTGTTCTTTTTGTTTTGTCCTTTTCCTTTTTTCTTAAATACCTCTCACAATGGGACTAGTAATAACCCCGGGGCTAACAGCGAGGGCTCCGCGAGTGCTGACCGTGTGTGGGACGCCCCGCTGGGCACCTCATCCATCCTCCCTGCAACCCTGTGAGGTGCTAGTTTTACTCTCACTTGAGAGACCAAAGTGAATCTTAAGTCCTTTAAATGACGTGTCCAAAAACCGTAGCAGAGCTAAGACTGGAGCCCAAGCCTCTGAGTCCCACAGGTGGGAAGAGCACAGAAGTGCCTATCCTGTGTCACCTGCCTGGTGACAGGTGTTCCCAAGCTGCTTGGGGCGAGAGAGACCACTGACGTAGCCCCTTCCCCCATCTCTGCGGCCTGAGCAGCGTGGCCCCTTGCAGAGGTGGCGGGTGGGGAAAAGGCTAGTGTCCACAAGGGCGCCGTTCTTCCTGAGACACCGTCAGTTCTCATTTGGGAAGCCTTGGGGATAGTGGGGACCCACATTGTCACCTGGGCAGTTTCCCTGCATCTGGGCACACCCGTGTCTTAGTGAGGAGGATGGAACGTTCTCTTCAGGAGCAGGAAGATGGTTAAAAGAGAATCCACTTCGGTGCAGTTAACACCGCAGACATCCGCGCGCACCGGTGCCCCTTGTTCTTTGTAAGGAGGAGCCAGGCTCCTGCCAGACTCCTGCCTGCTCCCACCTGCTCCCGCCTGCGCACCGGCACTCTGCGTGGGGACGTGGGCCTCGTCCCTTACGAAATACCTGCTTTTGCGTATCAACACTGACCGGAATGCCGAGTGGAAGGGCTGTCCTGTCTCGCCATCCCTGCTCTCTCAGAGCAGACCCCGAATCCGTGCTGCCCTCCCGCGGGTCATTAGCCGGTTAGGAGCCTGCGGCAATGCGGAGAGCGCGCGCGATGCCCGGGGGGTGGGCGGCGGCGCCCCAGCAGGGCCCCTTCCGTGTCTGTCTGTGCCCAGGATTACCTAGAAAAGTTCTACCAGTTACCGAGGACAGGACTGCGGTCGCAGAGGCAGAACAGCCCTAGCGTGATCGTTGAGAAGCTCAAAGAGATGCAGCGTTTCTTCGGGCTGAGCGAGACGGGGAAGCCAGACCGGCAGACGCTGGCGGTGATGCGGGAACCTCGCTGCGGGGTGCCCGACAGCGGGGACTTCATGCTGACCCCCGGAAACCCCAAGTGGGAACAAACCAACCTGACCTACAGGTGAACGTTCAAGCCCAGAGCCCGACAGGGGTGTTTGTCAAGGCTTTGTGACGGGCTGGGTGCTGTCCCAGGACGCGGGGTATGTGGGAGACAGGTGTCCCTGCCCGGGGCGGCCAGAGCTGGTGTGAAGGAGCAAAGACACCACAGGCTCTCCTCCCTGACAGCCTGATGCTCCGGTCCTCCTCCCCCAGCAGTCTCAAGAGGACAGGGCAACACTAGGCAGTGTCTCCATGAACTCCACTGAGGACCCCAAACAGCCTCACTCGTTGCTGGGCAGACCAACCCCAGTTCCGTGTGTCCTGATCACAGCAACGATACCCAGGATGGCTTCAGTACTGTGGTTTGATGAGTTCTGGGCTGAATACTTAACATGTCCTTAATCCCCTCAACCCCTCTACAAGCTACTATTCATGATGCTCTTAGGAATAAAGACACTGAGTTTAAAGATCAGGAATGACCTGTCCAGAGGCAGGTCTATCTGCAGCCCCAACTCCCATCCCCCTCCCACCCCAGACCCTCCCCACGGCTGGTTCGTCACATACACTGCTCCGTCCCAGAGGGAGAACCATGGTCTGCTGACAGCCGGCCTCTAAACCATGAGTCCTCCTCCCATCTTCTCATTTTTAAGGATTATTAAGTACACCACACAGTTGTCAGAGGCCGATGTGGAGGAGGCTATTAAGAAAGCCTTTCAAGTGTGGAGCAATGCATCATCCCTGACCTTCACCAAGACCTCGCAGGGAGAAGCAGACATCAAGATCTCTTTTGTCCAAGGAGGTAGGCTCGTCGTGCTCAGATTGGCCCTCCTGGCTAACCCAGGACTCGGCAGGGACCCAACAAACTGTCTTGTTTCAGATCATGGCGACAATTCTCCATTTGATGGACCCAATGGGATCCTGGCTCATGCCTTCCAGCCGGGCCAAGGTATTGGAGGAGACGCGCACTTCGATGAAGACGAAATATGGACCATAAATTCCAGCAGTAAGTTAACCAGGATTGGGTCAACCTGCAGCTCCTCACCAAGCTTCCTCCCATCAGAAGCCCCTCCTGTGCGCGTGCACACACACATACACACACACGCACGCCCGAGTTACTGTAACCTTTCACACTCATGCAGGCTGATCGTTCTAAATTTTTGAGACTTCATAATGCTAAGTAAATTTAGGTTTTCAAAAAGCCCTAAGGCTAATTATTCACCTTGCTTTCCTAGGACAGCCATCGAAAAGCTATAGACTGTGGCTAAATCCCGCCCTGTCCTGTTCGCATAAAGTTTTATTGGAACAGGGACGCCCTTTCTTGTTTATGTTCCGCCTATGGCTGTTCTCACAGTTCAACGGCGGAGCTGAGTACTTGCTACGGAAAGCACGCGGTTCACAGAACTAAAATACTATCTAAAACCTCACAAGCTTGGGGGCCGCTGCTTCGGGGCTTCTGTTTCTTTGTAATAACCTGAAATTTAATGACGTTTGGAGAAGGTCCTTATTTTGAAATCCAGAAACAACCGGGTTCATTGAGAAAACTACCCCACTCAGAAAACAGCCGCCCCATTTTTCGTTGAGCTGTTCCATTTCACAGAGCTCGTTTTGGGTGGTTGTTCCTATGGGACAAACCACCCCTCTCAGGAGAAGACGGACAATGAGAAGAGTCGGACCACGTGAAGGAAGAACACGTTAGAAAATAGGAAAGGAACCTTTCATCTTTGCTTGGAACCTGCTCCTCCCACCTTTTTCTCAGTGTCTGTGTTGTGAGTGTTTGCCCCACCCGAATCCCTGCACTAGGCGCTGGGATTAGCCAAAGATAAAGAACATTCTGCAGGACTTTGAATTGCTCTTGCCCTCCCCGCTGGTGCACGTGGTGGTCCCCTCTTACCAGAACTAAGTGATCCAGATTCCCACCTGGGCTGTTTACCTCCAGTTCTGCTCTAAGCTTTCCCAGCACCGCAGCAGAATTTACACTGGGAGAGCCCGTGGTGGACCACGTTACCCTCTGGTGTAAACTTCCAGTATCATGTTTCTGGACCACATAACATCTGGATGCCTTTCCTTGCCATCGAGGGCTTGTGGGAGTCGGCCAACTCGTCCTTCGTCCTGTCTTCCCGTTCCCCCTGCAGCAGCCACGCTGCGCATGGACTGCTCCCACATCACACCACGTGCCTCCCGACCACCCCTGTCTGCTCACATGGCACCCCCAGACCTCCCTTCTGAAATCCCTCTCTGCCCTGCCCCACGCCACCCCTGTCTCGTGTTTTAGCTGGAAGTGAGGCCTTTCTGCTCAGAATCCCAACAGCCTCTGTTTCTCTTTCTCGACCACTCTGCTCACTGTCCTGCGCCACTCGCGTCATTGAGCTACAGCTCCCCGTCTAGACTGTACATCATGACCCACCCCCTAGAGCCCCTCACAACGTGCTCCGGCACTCAGAGAGGCTTTTGAGATGCACTCAGAAATGCAAAAATGCAAGGATGTGATGGTCAAGAAAGAACGTCTTGGGGCAGGGGTAGAATTTCAGCAGGCTAGCTGTCAGTGGGAAGCTGGACGCTGTCGTCAGGGGCCATCAACCTGGATTTGGCTCCAGCTTATTGGTCGCAAGACCTCTAACAACATACCCAAAATCTGTGGGCTCCAGTCCCTTTACTGCAGAAATATTTCTAAATACTTGACACAAATGTGGCAAGGACTGAATCGTATCGTACAGCCCTGCATGTCGAAAGTGCTCTTTTCTAAGAGGTGAGCATGGAAGACAGGGCACGTTGTGTCTGCAGGACGGCTGGAGTGAAGAGTTCCCCTCTCACAGCAAGTCCTCAGGTGTCCGCCGGGCCGGTGAGGGGTCCTTGCTCTCTGCCAAGGAGTTTGGGCTCTGTCTGACCGAAGTGTGAGCCTTGGAAGTCGGGTTCCCAGCTGGGGAAGGCACTGTGCTCCTGGAAGCTAAAGCTGGGGGAAGGAGCAGGTTTGTCTCTTTCCAACCAGGGGGAGGTGGAGAGTCCTTGAAGCTGCTGGGAGAACTGGGAATCTAGGAGTCGCTGGTGCCGGCTGACGGGGTGTCAGGGAGGCCAGGCAGGTCTGTCTGCATCTGGGGCTGGTCGTGACCCAGCAGGGCTCTTCTCTAACTGAAGGGTGAGGACCTGGGTGGCTGAAGCGGGCTGCGGAGCCCCTCAGGACAATGGAGCCCCCCGCCCCGCCCACTCCCTTCTCTCTGGCTCTGGTCCACACCCGTGCAATACCAGAGTCAGAGCAAAGGCTGTATTTGTATTTCTTGCTTCTGAGCTCTGATGAGGAGCTTCCCGCACCCGAACCCCCAGCTCCTACCTTGATGCATCCAGCCTCCATCTCTTCAGGTGCCTGAATGGGAAATGCGGGAGAGAGGAGGGGCGGTGGTTTCTCCAGCTCCGCTGGCCTGGAAGCCGTGTTCCTCGAGGTCCTGCTGTCCCCGCCCTTGCCGCCACGTGGAACCACCACCCGCCACACATGCTTGCATTTCAGGTTACAATCTGTTCCTCGTCGCCGCCCATGAATTTGGCCACTCCTTGGGGCTCGCACACTCCACGGACCCCGGAGCCTTGATGTACCCCAACTACGCCTTCCGTGACCCCAGCACCTACACCCTCCCCCAGGACGACATCGACGGCATCCAGGCCATCTACGGTGAGGTCCCTGCTGGAGCCCCAGGCACCTGGGGAGGCGCCGGCTTGTCTGGGGCGTCCTTGAGAAAAGGGATGGGACGAGGAGTTTGAAGTAAAGCGTGGGGAGGGGGGAGGCACGGAATTTGAGCTATTTTACTTCACAACTGAACCTGGAGCATCTCTGAAAACCACCGTTCCGGTTTAAGGTAACTTGAAGAGGGCCACGTGTACGGTTGCTTTGATCCCTTGTGGGAGGGTCTGGCAGGCTTTCTCGTCCTCCACTTCCTGAGGAGCATCCCACGTACTCCAGCAGTCACACTGGACGGAAGCTGATAAAAAGCTCTTTTTTTAAAAGGTCCTTCAAACAACCCCGTCCAACCAACTGGACCGACCACGCCCACAGCCTGCGACCCCAGACTGACGTTTGATGCTATCACCACACTCCGTGGAGAAATACTATTCTTCAAAGACAAGTATAAGATTGAACTGTTTCTTCCCTGGACTTAAGTTACCAGCGTGACTTAGAGCTGGGTTCTAATCAGTCCCCGGGGGACACATCGCACACCTTTTCCTCCGGGTCCTGGGCTTGTGCAGCCCCTTGCAGTGGGTTGTGTTTTCTGGGTAACTCGAAATGTCCCAGAAAATTAAAAAAAAAACCAAAAACGCAAACACACATAAACATTCAGATGTGGGTGATAGCGTGGGGACCCGGGCTCCGGCTACCCGTGGGTTTATCAGACACCGAGACCTCATCCACTCCCGCCCACATTCAGTCCAGGGAATGGACTGAGCCCAGGATAAGCTGGGGCAGGTCACCTCACGGGTTGGGGTTTTCAGTCTTCCACCGGCTGCTTTGTGACTGTGGGATCGGGGGTGGATTTACTCTTTTGCTTTTGCTGGAAAACTCAAAAGAATCTAGGCATTCTGTAGGAACAAGAGCGAGCCTTGCCAGGGTGTGTCGGGGTGACAGGGCACATGTGATCCTAGAAGGTCACTCCTAGGAGCTCCCCTAAAGCCTGGGAAGCACCCCGGAGGTGAACAGCATCACGCACGTTGGCCACGGTGCTAGAAATTGCCCCCGGGACGGGGTCCCACCGTCCCTGCAGTGTCAGCAGAGCGGGCGCGCACGGGGGCCTGGGGACGGTGCCCGCTCACAGCCCTGTGCTCCGCTAGGTACTTCTGGAGGAGACACCCTCAGCTGAGAAGAGTCGAACTCAACTTCATCTCCCTCTTCTGGCCGTCCCTGCCGGACGGCATACAGGCAGCCTATGAGGATGTGGACGAGGACCTCGTTTTCCTATTTAAAGGTAACTGCCTACAGTTATCCCCCTGTTTTCGTTGTCCCCGAAGCGAGGGGAGGATTTCTTTGTGGTCCCTTCCGGGCTGAGAGGAGCTGAGCTGATGACAGCATGTCACCCCGACTGGACTTGCTCAAGAGACCTGGGCTGGGTCGGGACCTGGCCACTCACTGCTCCGGGAGCTGGAGCAGCTCTTTCCACCTCAGCCCTGCTTTCCCACCCCGTCCCACCCTCCTCGTCCCAGGCCTAACAGTGTCCGAGCCCCCGCGGCTGAAACAGCATCTCTGCTTCGAAGGCTCATGACCTGACGGAGTCCCCCAGCCGTGAGGCCCTGCTCGCCAGGCTCCGAGTTGTTATCGGGGGCTGGGGAACCATGAGGGCTGATACAGCCCGATGAACCTGACCACCTCAGTCTTTTCAAGACTCCTGTTCCGTTGTTTCTGTGAAGAATTTACACCAAGACTAAGAAGGGATGCCACATGGTATTGCAGAAGCAGAAAACTTTATCTAACGTGTGACCCGACTCATTGACAGGTAGCCAGTACTGGGCTCTGAATGGCTATGACATCAAGCAAGGTTATCCCAGGGACATCTCAGACCACGGCTTCCCAAGCAGCGTACGAGCGATCGATGCAGCTGTTTACTACAGGAGAAAGACCTACTTCTTCGTAAACGACCAGATCTGGAGGTAAGGCAAACTGTTTCAGTTGGAGGTGGACATCTGCCTGTTTACTGTCTACAGACCACTAACAAGCAGACGTCTGAAGGTTCTAAAACCCAGGTGATCTCGGATAGGCATTCTTTCTCACAAAATGATCGATGTTGCCATGGCTTTGGAAAGTGTCATTTTTATAAAATTAAAAAGTCTTCACAATGGTATTGAAGATTCTATGTCAGGAAACAAATCAAACCTTGAAAAAGCCCCGGGAAGGGAGGCCAAGAAAGAAGCTGATTCTGGGGCGCCTGGGTGGCTCAGTGGGTTAAGCCTCTGCTTTCGGCTCAGGTCATAATCTCAGGGTCCTGGGATCGGGCCCCGCATTGGGCTCTCTGCTCAGCAGGGAGCCTGCTTCCTCCTCTCTCTCTCTGCCTGCCTCTCTGCCTGCTTGTGATCTCTGTCTGTCAAATAAATAAATAAAATCTTAAAAAAAAAAAAGAAGCTGATTCTCAAGAGATGAATTCTAACACACTCAAGAGAGCCCACAAAATGTGGGGGCCACACTGGACTTGTTACCTCACTACTGGGGGTGGGCAGGGGGTGAGAGGAAGAGAGACTGACTCTGTACCCGTCGAGGAAATCTCAGAAAAGCAAACCCTTCTTTCAGAAAATAACATTGTGCTAGCCATCAGAAGCCTGCTTCAGTGTTGATGCTACCCACATATTTTATAAACAGGATTTTGTACCCTTAGGTAGAGAACTCCGCCATTTTTAGGCCCAGGACATAAGACATTATGAAGACCGAATGAGAAAATATGTGTGAGGACACTTTATAAAGTACACGTAATTTAAAGAAAACTGTTGTCGTCAGATACTTTACTGATTTTAAAACATGGGATTTTTTTCTCATCAGATATGATAACCAAAGACAATCCATGGAACCAGGTTATCCCAAAGCCATAGCGAGTATCTTTCCAGGAATAGAAATCAGAGTTGATGCGGTTTTCCAGCAGGATCGTAAGTAAAATAATAATAATGATAATGATGATGATGATGATAATAATAAATTTGTTTAAATTTTTAAAATAGCACATTTGCATTTAAATGCTATATTAGAAACAACTGAAAACATCTGAGATCTAAAAGCTAATTCAATATTTTATCTTTTTTTTTTTTTTAACAGATGTTTTCTTTTTCTTCAGTGGACCAAGATATTACGCGTTCGACCTTGGTGCTCACAGGGTCATCAGGATCGGCAGAAGCCAGCGATGGCTCAACTGCTGAGAAACCAAAGCCAAGTCGCGCTTGCTCGCACCCCCTTGCTGCCCGCAGAGGGAAAGCCCAGTTTGCCCAGCCATTTTCCTGCGTCCTGTTTATACTCTTCCTAACATAAGTAATGCAGTTTGCTGTCGCTGTCCTCACTGGAGCTGCCTTCTGTGAACATACATCTGGAGTACCCGTTGTCTCCAGATTCCTCTGATTCCGCCTCGAGAGGAGGCGAAGCTTCCTTGTCACCTCAATATCCACTCTACCAGTACTTGCTTACCCGACTTCTGCAATGCTTGTGTATAACCTGAATCTCCTTTCCCTGCTGTATACAGCTCAGCACTGGGCTTTGGTGAAGGGGAGAGACCAGGAACAGCATGAACCGTGCCTCTCGCCTTTACTAGAAACGCAGTGTTATTCTCCACCCTCGGAAAAAATACTGTGGATCCATGTTGTGGCTTGAATTGTGTCTCCCAGAAAGAGAGGTTGAAGCCCAGTGGTAGGTACCTATGAGAAGACCTTATTTGGAACTAGGGTCTTTGAAGGTGCAACCAGGTAAAAGGAGGTTACGCAGGAGCAGGCTGGACGTAAGGGCTGGGGTCCTTGCGCGAGGAGGAGCCACGCAGACACGTAGCCGACAGAGACACGCGAACGTAGAGACAGACACGCGAACGGTGCACCCGCAAGCCAAGAACGGCCAGCAACCACCAGAAACCAGGAGGAGGCGAGGAAGGATCCCTCCTAGGACCTTCAGAGCAAAGAATTTTATCTTCCCCACACCTTGGTTTTAGACTTGTAGCTTCCAGAGCTGGGATCGAGCAAGCTGGGCTGGAGTCTGTGGAGCTTCCTTCCGGCAGTCCTGACAGCTTAGTCAACAGGAAAGGACAAAGTTGAACCCTCTGTGAGGGTTACTGTCACCTTCCCCAACAAGGAGAAAAAGGGGAGGTACCATATTCTCCTCTGTCTCCGCCCTACTCTGTCCTTTTAGAGTCTAAGCAAGTGAGCTAGTGAATGGACCTGTCGTTCCTTATTTCTTCTTCTCCAGGGGTACACAGGAGGGCCCAGTCTCCCCCAAGGAAGATTTACTGCACAAACAGAATAGCTCTAGGCACAGAATTCAGTGAATCCCATTACATCAAACTAAGCTGAGATGCATACCTTTGATAGTGGTTCTTTTCTGTCAAGAACTTTAGGGCTCTGGGACCATAATGGCTAATCCAGATATCAAAAATAATTAAAATGTCATATCTGCAGTTAGACTATAATGCAGCTTATTATTCATTAAGTTAGCGAATTGTAGAATATATGTATTACTAACACATTCTATTTCCTTTTCCTGTTTTTAAGCCTCACAGATAATTTAGTAATTCAGTACCTTATTCTGGTTCAAAAATTACTGGGTTCGAAATAAATATATTAAATGACTAACTAGTGATCTATAATTTCTGAAGATGTTGCTGCCTAGTTCATATAAAGTAGAGAGACGAATGGCAAATTTCACTATATTTGAAGTTCTTTGTTTTCTTGTCAGAATTATAACATTGACATTAACATTTTAGAAACTGTTTCCATTCACAAAATACTTTGTAAATACTAGATTTCCTTCACAGGTTCCCTCAAATATGTCAGCACATTTTCTTCTCAACTTATTTTATGAGATGAGAAAACAAACTTGGATATACTATCATTTCATTCAGTCACTCATTCGTTTATTCAACAATAACTCATCACCTGCATGTCCCAGGTGCTAGGGAAAGTGAGAGAGAGAGAGAGAGAAGGAGTTCATTGTATCAATGTAACAAGTGCAAACATTGGAGTCAAGTTCAGACTATGCTATTTTCTGAGACATCTTGTGTCCACTTTTACAGGCATGAAGATGGGAGATTCAGAACACTGGCTAGTTATGCTAGGTTCTTGGCCCAAACCTCATCTATATACACATTGTTGAGATGAGAACTGAATTCATAGTATTTCTTTAACCATATTTCAGAGAGTCCTTGAAAGCGAACCACAATGAGAAGTGAAACAAAGAAATCAAAAATTACTCCTTTTTAAAAGTCCTCTTTGTGTGGTATTTTCTGGCTGTTACACTGACATTTTATGTAAATACAAGAGCTCCAAGAATCTGAGCTCAGAACTTAAGTCATGAGAGGACTTTTTACCTTGGGTTAAATTTCTTCAAAAGCAAAGCCTAATTCCAGACCTTGGTGTGGTTATTTTTACTGGGGACACGTTCCCAGGAAGCAGGAGTGGGGCAGCAGGCAGAGTGAGTAAAAGGAGAAAAGCCAACACAAGGGCGCTGTCGAGGTTTCTATGATGGGCAACAGAGGCTCGATGCCAGCTGGACCTCCTGAGAAGCCTACCCAACACCTTTGTTGAAATCTGGAAGGGATGGGAAGCTGGGTATTTGCGCATCTGTTCCCTCCTGCCTAGGGTGGGTTTAGGTGATGCTTAGGAAGAAAGCAGAAGGCATGCCAGAGATACCTCCTGCATCTTGTTGATGGGAAGTTAAAATGTTGGGAAACTGGAGAAGTCTTCTCTGGAGGAATTTAGCAGCCCAAGGAAGAAGACTTTTAGATACCGACACTGACCTCTGTTAACACTTTCTCCCCCCTCCTTTGTTGTGACAACACCCCAATTTCACTTGTGGTCGCGATACATCCAACGAACGGAATACATTCTGTGCTCCTGCTGGCAGATGCGGCCAGTGTTTAATTTCTTGCCAAAATGCATATGCAGAGTATTGTGTGGGCTTCTGGAAAGACACTGGGAACTTGTTTACTCTGCTGTCCTCCTTCCCGCTGCCTGTAACACACAAAGTCTCCAAACGTGTGAAAAAAATCTTCTAATATGAGAAACAGGCACCCAGAAAGAAACTTTGAAGAAATAGAGACAATTCTGGGAGCAAAGCAAAATGTCAAGATACACTTAAAAATACTATACATTCTCAAAAGATAGGGCATATTCTACACCCAAAAACCACTAACAAAATGCAAGAAAATAAATAAAACATTCAGAGAATTATAAAGAACTCTTGGAAACTAAAAACACAACTGGGCTGGAAAATAATGTTGGCAGAAAGCAGTGAAAGAAATATTGGAACACAGAGTTTCAATCAATGAGGTCCAAAAGATGTGCATTCCAGAAAAGGGAAGGGAAAATTGAGTGGGAAAAAATTATCAAAGAAATGACAGAGGAAAGTTTTCTGGAAATTTTCATAGTGAAAGGGTCTGCTTACTGCCCAGCAACATTAATGGGAGAAGAAAAAGAAAAAAAAGAAAACCACAAGAGACTTCAGTATGAAATTTCAGGATAGCTGCATAAAGAGAATATTTCCAACATCTTCCAGGAGAAAAAAATGAAGAATCAGAATAAAAGACTTCCCAGCAGCAGCACTAGATTCTAGAAAACCAGTCAAGAGTGCCTCTAACATCCGAAAGAAAATTTACTTCGGTACACTCTCGATCAGGTGTCAGGATGGAATAAGGGACATTCTTAGGCACAAGAAGATTGGAAACACTCATTTTCCTTGCACACTTTCCAGCGCCCGCCCCCATCTCCCTTGGCTGTCTTCAAGTGGATTGGCTCTAATTGGCCAGACCTCCCAAAGTGCATCTCTGCTGAGCTACCTGCCTCCTATGGGCTCCCGCCACACACGCCCTGTCCCATCCCCATCCTACCCATTTCCTTCTTCTGGACCCTCTGGAAGCCCCACCTGGCCAAGCCGCTGGGGCACGCCCATCAGCAGTGACCCTCTCTTTGGCTCTTCTCCACTCTGGAATCTTCCGTGCACATTTTGCCATCCGTCTCAGTTTTGCCTGATATTAATGTCTGTATGTGCCTGAATTTCCCAACAAGATGGGAACCACATCTCATTCATGCTTCGGTTTACCGTGACAGGCTGATAGCAGGTGCCCCGAAAACATGGGTTGTTTATCCTGGTTAACTACGGCAATCTGATGCTTGATTCAATTGTATTTTCATGATACCTTTCTAGCCAAGATATCCTGGTGTTTCGTTCAAAAGAAAATTACTTTATAAACTCTCAAGAATGTCAAAGATAAGAAGAGCTCCAACTTTGCAAGGACAACAGTAACTTGGAGGCTGGCTCCCTACTATAATCAATTCAGTAATCAACAGTGACTGTGTTTCCTCAGAAACTGCAGATCATGATTGCAAAATCAAGTTAACCTAAGGGGAAAGGGCTTATCATGACACACTTCATGGCAAATGTCCTTTTCTGGTATTAATTAAATGACAATACAAGCCAAGTCATGCCACGTCTTACTCTTGTTTTCTGAATTCCGTGGAAACAGAAACAGGCTTCGGCAGAAAGGAGAGAGTAATGAAGAGACTTCTGCTTCGATTTTGGCTCCTTATAATGTTTTCTTCTGCATTTCCTGTAGACCGAAAGATGGACACGGACGAGAACGCACGGCTGGTGCAGGTATGTGTCTCAATATATGTTAATAAGGGCTATCGATAAAAAATTAATTTTCTTGGTTGCCTTGGAACCTAACAAGACAGCAAATTCCTGCAAAAGATTCTGGTACTTTCCCCTAACTCAAGGACACCAAATAACCGTGTGTGGGGCGAAAGCTGGGGGTGGGAAAGGAAAGGAGATTTGCTGCCACTTCAAGCCGTGGGTCCCGGCGGAGACCAAGGGAGGAGAAAGGGAACAGCCCTGGGAGAAATGGGGTCTCTCCACAGGAATATCATACCAGCTAGGGGGGCCCACCTCCCACTCTAGGTCCTTACCCCTCCATGCGTCCAAATACTTGACCTTGGAGAGTCCCTCTAAAAATTAGTCCAGTCAATTTGCCATATTTGGTTAAATTAATCACGTCTGCAAAAAGAACAACCACATACCTCTTCTAGAATTTGTTTCAAGGGAACACCCAAATGCAGGGGCGAGCAGCAGTGTCTAAGCTGTGCAATCATTTAACACGTAGAATCCACTGATTGTCCTCCCTGCAGGCGTGGAGTCGTGTGGGCTGTGTGGGCTGGGTAACCCCAGGCCCACGGGCTCAGCCACTCGTGGAGAGCTAGGCCCACGGGCTCAGCCACTCGTGGAGAGCTGGAAAGGCAGGCTGACTCTGCTTCCTTCCTTTCTCCTTCCCTCCCCCTCCTTCCCTCCCCTCACTCCTTATGTCTTTCTTCCCACCCACTGCCAAAAAGGATTTCAGGTGATTCTGTTTTATCCGGAGATACAGATGTGCTGTCCTGTAGTTTGTGTCCTCCTTTATTTTTTCTCTCTCTTTGATCAGGCATATCTCAACCAATTCTACTCTCTTGAAATAGAAGGGAGTCCTCTTGTTCAAAGCAAGAACGGGAGTCTCTTAGATGATAAGATTCGGGAAATGCAAGCATTTTTTGGACTGACAGTGACTGGACAACTCGACTCACACACCCTGGAGATCATGAGGACACCGAGGTGCGGAGTGCCAGATGTGGGTCAGTACGGTTACACCCTTCCAGGATGGGGAAGACACAACCTCACATACAGGTAACACCTGCGCATACTGTCTCCCCCATGCGCCCCGGTCCAAAACCACAGGACCGTAACAGTTTATTTTACCGAGCACTTCCTAGGTCCACTGATCTCATTTGCTCCATCCTCCCTGCGACGCTGGGCTGTAGGCAGCCCTGCTGGGACCGCCTGAAACAGACACTGAGACAGAGGTTATCGAAGCATCCCCAAGTCGTCCCAGCAGACTGGCTCTGGCAGATACGCTTCAATCTCCCGCCTGGGCCACTCGCATACACACTCAGGACTGGGGGCCACTCGCATACACACTCGGGACCCGGAGCTCGGCCGTCGGACTGCTGACGGCTGAAGCGATGGTTCGAGCACGCTCAGGAGAAGATGGGAAGAGCCTGGAGTTCAGCCAGTTCATGTTAGAGACGCCTCGGCTAGCATCGTCATACCTCAGGTGGAGCCCGGGCGGAGAGGGGAGTCCGCCCCAGGCGTGCCGGGGAGAGGGGGCCGGCTCACTGGCAGAAAGAGGGTGGGGTGTGCTTCCCACCCGAGTCGTGGCCGTGACTGTGGCTCTCGAGCCCTCCCGCGGGCCCCAAAGAACACGTCTCCTAGCTCTTCCTTCACTGTATTGAGTCTTAGGAATTAAAATAATCATAGCTCTAGCAAGACAGGGAATGGAAGCCAGAGGGAAGTCTTTTCCTGAGGAACTGAGTCTTTCAAGCTCTCAAGGGAGACTCTTTGCATATGATGCGAGCGTGAGACTGATGTCCTCGAGCCGCTGAGAATGCCGAGAACGCAGATCTCCGCTCGTGCACCGCAAGGCCGCCCCGGAGAGGGGCGCTCCCCCGTCAGGATGTGATCTCAGGGAAGTCACAGAACCTCTCTGAGGCTCGTTTGTTGACGTCTTGTTCCACTCCGCGATGCACGAGCAGATGACAGGATCGGGTCACAGAGCATATGGAAATGCGCTTTGTTTAAATACTAACATAAGAGCAGCGCGATGCTATCAGTGACCACTGTGTGTGATTTATAAGAAACGATCGTTTTGTCTTTGTGTGTCTACATGCATGTGCCATCACCGACGCATCTGTTTCTGTAATTTTTGAAGAATCGTCAACTACACTCCAGATATGGCCAGGGCAGATGTGGACGAGGCCATCCAGAGCGGCCTTGAGGTGTGGAGCCGAGTGACTCCGCTGACGTTCACCAAGACTTTCAAGGGGGTTGCGGACATCATGATTGCCTTTAGGACCCGAGGTAAGGTTTCCGGCAGAGGGAAAAGTCTGGCTATTTCCATCTCAGGAGATTTGGACAGGCTGACCTTTCTCCCCCTATGACCTGTGTCTCAGTGCATGGCCGGTGCCCTCGTTATTTTGATGGCCCCCTGGGAGTCCTCGGACATGCCTTTCCTCCAGGTCTGGGTCTGGGTGGAGACACTCACTTCGATGAGGACGAAAACTGGACCAAGGATGGAGCAGGTGAGCCCAATTCTCTCCGTGAGCAGAATCTTGTTTAAAAGAATCCCTGAAATGGCTTCACAATTAGTTGCTTTTTACTTCCCAGTTGCCCCACAGTTTCCATATTCACTGATGGACGTTTCAGTATCTATTAGATAACGGTGCTCTTCATGTCAGGACCTTACCCGCACAGTGTCCTCATGAAGACGCTGATCCTTTCCGGATCTGGGCCTTCTCCGCGTGCTCACACACGCACGCATGTGCCCACAGCGCCTGAAGGTCTGCCATGTGCCTGGAACCATGCAAGACCCTGGAGTTGTACTAGGCCGACCACAGAGTTGTACCAGACAAGTTCCAGGCCTTCACAGGTTCATGACCTTGTGTGCTGCAGGGCCCGGACCGCACCCTACAAGTCAGTGTGGGCCGTGTGTTGTAGCAAGGGTAGAAGTCACCTGTGGCTTCAGGACAGAAGAAGGCTGTAGGGGCTGGGATTCTGAGTTCGTGACTGAAGGATGGCGTGTGGGCTCGCAGCACCTAGAAGGTCGATTCAAAGGCATGAACTTCCTCTTCTAACACTTGCCCACCTGCCGAGGAATTAGACCCCAAACCTGACTCAACCTTTAGACCAAATGAGTTGATTTCATTTCATGCCTGCCTGGTACTAAAATAGGAAATTTTCTATTACTTCTTAAACAAGAAACAAAACTTTACTACAGTAAAAATATGTGTATCCCACGAGGGAGCAGGCTCCGTGGACTCTGGGTTCTCCCCATTTCGTTTTCTGTCATTGACAATAGTTGCCGTGGGTCTGGGGTCTGGTTTCCGGGGTCCCAGGAAAGCAGAGGCTACGGCTGTCCTGAAGTGTGGTCTCTCCGATCACACAGTTCAGTCCAGTCTGTGAGTCGTTCTGTGGTTTCCGCAAACCAGCGCATGATAGATGCCCCACAACTTCGGTAAACGAAGTCAGTCAGAAATCCTGTACCAGACAGCCGTCATGAGCCAGCTCTGCACTACAGCTGGAGTACACAACTCACCCTCGCCTTCAGGGCTCTGCAGCCTAGGGCACACGCAATCTCAAACAGCAGTTAAGTCAGCGTGACCCACCCCAGGGTGAAGGAACGATAGCAAAGTGGTAGGAGCGGGGAGAAGAAATGGGAACAGGAACACAGGTCAGGGGAGGAAGTGACGGCAGACCTGAGATGGAGGCTGAGCGGGCACTCGGCTGCGGAGCACTCCTGAAAGCGCAGCCCGACCGACTCAAGCAGCAGGATTGTGGAGGAAACGGTGAATAGGGTCCAGACCACGCAGCGTCTGAAAAGCCAGCATAAAGGTTTGAAAGTCATGAGATGACTTGAGTTTGAATTATCTTTTCGAAGAGTCCCTTGTCCCATCTTGTCCAAACGTACACGCAGCGACACTGCCAGCCAGACGAGGGGCACCAGCTGAGGCCAGAGCAGAGAAGCCCGAAGGACCGTTAAATAATCCCTGGTCATTCCGTGCTCATTTGTGCCGGCATCGTTGGACAAGGCTCCATCAAAAAAGCCTCGGCCTTTTCTTTAGGGTCCATAGGCTGAATTGCAAGTCCAAGGACAGTCTTTTATGTTTAGAACCTTACAGGCTAGTGGGAGAGACAGAGAAAAGGGCAGCTTCGCCTGCATGCAGAGACTTCCAGTATGGGTGTGTAGGAGACTTATCCAAACATTCTTTCATCCACATAAACACCGGGACATCCAGCCACCATTATGAAGTGCCCACTACTGACAGGCAGGTTAGCAGTCACTGGAGAAAAACAGTGGCTAAGACGCAGTCCCTGAAAAGACGCACAACTTCATGAAAGTGGTCAGTGTAGCCCCTCATGTGCTATGGCAGAATTCAACACCGAGTCTATGGAAACGCAGAAAGGTGCCTTTAACTCAGCCAGGAGAGGAGGGGTGCTAAGAGAAGCCTCACACACGAGCTGATTCTAAAGGGATTTCCTGAGCAACAAGTGAGAGAGCTTGGCACACAGGGCTGGGAGAGGTGATGTTCTGGGTAGAGGGGATGGAGGTAGGAAGCCAGAGAGATTAGAAGGAGCATGGCACGGATGAGAGATGAAAATGATTGCATACGGTTAGCTCATGAAATACGAAAACAAAGTATGAGCCTCATACAAAGGCAGGGACTAGATCATGGAGGGTGATGGCAAGGACTAGATCCTACGGCAGGGAGGACTTCCACACGATACAAGTAGGATAAACGTGATCAGACACACAGTATAACCCATCAACAACCAAAAACTGGTGGCTTCTCCTTTTTTGTTTTTTGTAGTAATAACTACTTCTCACACACCTGTTTCCTGCCATCTTGTTGTTCTTGATCATATATGTTCATGATCAGATGATCATGATATGACTAGTGTTGAAATACTTCCGAGATAAATGATGGCACATAGACCAATTATCCACTCTATGGCAAGCCTTTCCTTCTCTCCGCTTGGCTACTTCTTAACCTCAGATGCAGCCATTCTCCTTTTGACTGACCCATATACCCATGTCTTTCCTGGTTTTGTTAAGGATTCAGCTTATTTCTTGTGGCTGCTCATGAATTTGGCCATGCACTGGGACTCTCTCACTCCAATGATCAAACAGCTTTGATGTTTCCAAATTACGTCTCCCTGGATCCTAATAAGTACCCGCTTTCTCAGGACGATATCAATGGGATCCAGTCCATCTACGGTGAGCAACCTCAGAAATCAGAATATAAGTGAACTCAGTAGGAAGATTTCCAGAAAGGAAGTGAAAAAATCACTTCTTGAAATATCACCATGAAGAAAACACCCACTTGGGTAAGATCCTTCTCTAGGTATTTCCACATGCCTTCTGAATTCACGGTGCCCTTTCTTTTCTCATCAAAGGGAGTCTACCTAAGACATCTGCTAAGCCAAAGGAGGCCACCGTACCCCATGCCTGTGACCCTTATTTGACTTTTGACGCTATCACCACCTTTCGCAGAGAAGTAATGTTCTTTAAAGGCAGGTAAACCCATTCCCTTAAATACCTCAACTTCCTATGAATATTTTACTTTTCAAGAGATTTGGGGGTAAATAGGAAATCACAGAGATGGAGGAGAATGTGTTCCTTTTCATTTTCATTTTATAACTGTCCATACTCTTTGGAATACTTTACTATGTGTATATATCTCTTGCTTGTTTGATAAATTAATTTTTAAGTGTTGTTAAGCAAATTTTTAATTGCCATTGTATAACAAGGTGAAGTAGGATCATTTTCAGTGACCTCTTCGCTAAAACCGTACACCCATCCCAGTGGTGCAGGAGCTGACCATTTCAGGAGCCAATTTCATTTCAGGAGCCAATGGTTAAGGTTGGGGGAGGATTGCAAACCACTTCGCATCACTTCTGTAGCCTGGAACTGGCCATGGTTGGGGCATTTGCACCCTGGAAAGCAGCAGATGATAAAAGGTCTTTTTTCCAGCGAGAGCGCCAGCTGGGAAACACGAATGAGCAGACCGTTCCTTCACGTGGCAGCAGGGACACGCGATCGCCGGGGTGGGAGCACTCCTCTCTCCCCGCGGACAGCTCACTGGGCTGCAGTGGCAACGTGGCCTGTCGGCTCTGTGTACCATGACTGCGTTTTCAGAGCTCAGTATTGGGACACAGACCATCTCACAAGCACAGGGGCACAAGGAGAATATTTGAAATCTGTCCCCTTTCACCCACAGCGAGACAGCCCTCGGTGCCATGCTCCGCGCCGTGGGGGCTGAGGCCACTTGGCCGGGACGTCAGAGAGGGGCAGCCCAGCATGGGACAGGCTTTTCGGTCTTGTTCATAGACTCAGAACTTTACAGCCTGAGGGAAACATCTGAGGAAATATTTTACCGTGCAATGCTCACAAGTCTTTATTCTAGCGAACATCAGACTGAAAGCTTCTTCTGAGATGCTCGCTGTTGCCTTGGAACTTTGAGCATCGCTGATTTGGCAAAAACAAGGTCCCTGAGCTCTGAGCATCGATATTGCTATGAGCAGTTGCTACTCTCGGTTCCCAGGAGAGCAAGCTCACAGGCGTGTCTTGACCTTGGTAGTGCCGGAGGAGACGTGAACTCACAACCACCTACATCGGCTGAGGAGAAGTGTGTGAATGCTCTAAATTATTTGAGGGGCATCTAATCAAAAGAGAAGCCTAGATTACAGTGTTTCCACCACAATATACGCTGTTTGTGTAAAGTGCTTTTTTGTTGTTTTTTAACACAGGCATGTGTGGCGGATTTACTACGATATCTCGGACGTTGAATTTGAACTGATCTCTTCATTCTGGCCCTCCCTGCCAGCGGATATCCAAGCTGCATACGAGAGCCCCAACGATAAGATTCTAGTGTTTAAAGGTAACTCTGCCCATCACGCTTTTTCTTCTGTCTCTGGATACGTGAACCGGTCGGTGGATGTTTGGGGCAAGGAACACAAAATCCATGTGTGAGGCAAATGGAGAGTTCTTTGGCTGTAGGTTCCTACAGAAAGAAAAACTACCCAGGGTTCTCTGTGGCTGTGAAGACGAACATTGTCCCAACTAAACCGCAGCTAAAAGAAACCTGTATGGTAAAAACTAAAATAACGATCTTTTTTCTGCCAAATAAAGAGAACCCATCCCTCTTTTATATTTATTTTTTACTAGGATTATCAGACTTGGCAAATAAAAATACAAGACACATTGAATTTCAGATAAAACACACAATTTTTTTATTATGAGCAGGTCCCTTGTAATATTTTAATATACTTAGAGTAAAAGTCAGCCAGTGTTAATTTGAAATTCAAATTTACCTGGAATCTTACATTTTTCAATGCTGTTTTTATATGGATTTCATCAGATTACTTGCCTTTGTGAATAGCCGAGGGCTGGAATCTAGGAGATTGTGTACAAATGAAGCTGACTGGGTTGTCAGAGTCGGAGACATCACCAGTCCGCACACTAGTGAGCATGTTGCTTGACTGTCGGTGTGTGTCACGCGTGGAGTCGGAATGATAAAGGCAGCTGAAGAAGGCAGTAAGAATAAGCAGGACAGGAGATGACAGAATCCCGAGAAATGAGGCATCTAGTTATTTTCGAGTTTCTTAGGACACCTGTTTTTCCCTCTAGGTAACAGATGAGAAGATAATCACCTTCTCTCTTCCTAGATGACAACTTCTGGGTGATCAGAGGATATGCTGTCTTGCCAGATTATCCCAAACCCATCTATACGCTTGGCTTTCCAAGGCATGTGAAGAAAATTGACGCGGCTGTCTGCGACCACAGCACCAGAAAGACCTACTTCTTTGTGGGCATTTGGTGCTGGAGGTAAGTGTGCAGACAATCGACCTCTTCAGTTTATTCTGCGGAAAACATCCACACACCATCACTTTAACATGGGCAGAAATAAAACTCACCTGTAGTCCTCTAAAATCATTTATGTTGAAGCCCACCTCGGGGACATGGCATTCACCAAACAAAAGAATGTTTCAGGGAGTCCGAAGCTCTTTCTCTAACATAAAAAAATAAAATAAAATAAAGATAAGATAAAAAAAAATAAAACTGGTGATGCCAACCAAATTACCGATAATACCAATATACCTTATCAAAATCTGGGAAAGCTGCAAGCTGAGCCTTACTTTGTGTTTTTTTTTTTTTAATTGCAACATACTTATGATACAGTATCATGCTGGTTTCTGGTACAATACAGCGATTTGACACTTCCCCTCATTGCCCGGTGCTCGTCGCCACAGGTGCCCGCCTTCCTCTCCTTCCCGTTTCCGCGTCCCCCGCCCGCCTCCCCGCCGGTGCCCAGCAGTGTGATCTCTGTAGTGCACAGTCTGTTTTGTGAGCCCGCACTCTGATCTCATAGCATCAGTCTGACGAAGGATGTGGCTTGCTTCCACTCCTCGTTTTTTCTTTTCAAGACACTACAAGTGATTCAGCCACACACAATCTTTGACGTGTTTTTTATCGTTGACAGAATTAGTTTTCCTCTACCGGGGCTGCTGCTTCTCCACATCCCCCTTTGACTCCGAGTGGGGCAGTGGAAGGACTCAGCTCCCCAGAGCAAAGATCCCCTGGGAATGTTTCTAATCCCTGCTTGCAGGTATGACGAAGTGACCCAGAGCATGGACAGAGGGTACCCACGGAGGGTGGTGAAGTTTTTCCCAGGAGTCGGTCTCCGAGTCGATGCTGCTTTCCAGCATAAAGGTGAGCATCACTGCCTAAGCCTGTGGGTACTCAGGAGACCTCAGTGGCTGGGAGAGAACATAGAAGTGGAAATGCTTCCATTTTCCTTGGTTGGGTTTTTGGTTTTGTTTGTTTTTTTTTTTTTTTTGAGGTTGGCACTATTTTTTTTTATTATGTTCGGTTAGCCGACATATAGTGCGTCATTAGTTTTTCAGTAGCATTCAGTGATTCGTTAGTTGCATATAACTTTTAATGTGATTTTACTCTTCTCGGGTACCTATAATAATAAACTCCACCCAGGCTGGCATTCCCACAAACCAAATTCTAAGTTCTGTTACACTCTTTCAAATCTCTGTAAAAGGTATCAAAATTAATTTTACTTATCATTGATCCAACATAGCCCCTGAAAGACACCCCCTGAAGAGTTGTTTTTGTTTTTGTTTCTCTAAGATTTTCGTTGTCAGAGACAGAGAGAAAGAGAGCACAAGCAGGGGAACAGTAGAGGTGGAGGAGGAAGCAGGCTCCCCGCTGAGCAAGGAACCCCATGCAGGACTCGATCCCAGGACCCTGGGATCATGACCTGAGCTGAAGGCAGACACTTAACGACTGAGCCCACCAGGCGTCCTGCACACCCCTGGAGAGTTTTAAGTGTGAGGAATGACTAAGCACACGAACAGGACAGTGACTCTCAAACTAGCATGTGTGTAGTTAATGTGTGCACTTGGGGGTTGTGTGGGAAATGACAAATCCTTCAGAGTTTTTGAGGCGGATGTAGGACTGTGGGTAAGAAGCAGAAGTCTACAGCTTTAGAAGCACCCCGGTGCTCAGAATGCTGCAATGGCCTCGGACTTAGACCATGGGTAACCCCCTAGAACATGGGGTAAACAGAGCCTAAAAAGTTTCCTGAATGACACCACCATTTCTTGCAGTGAAATCTCACACAAACCTTAATACCTAAAACAGAGCAGAACAACTCGAGGAAAATGAGGATATAGGGCCCAAGGCCAAACCCACAGGGGCCTTCTCCTCCCCCTTTGCTAAGACACTGTTCTGAAACCTAGTATGAGAACCTCTGGCATGAACCACAGTCTGGCGAGACAAGGGGTAAGCCCCTTGACATTCATGTTCAGACCTTGGCTTCTTCCTTGGGGAAATAAAACTAACAATATTTCTCATGTGACAATATAAAGTAAAATGTATCTCAGTAATACACGAGTTCCTTTTCTCTCCACAGTGTGCAATTATTTTTTCTATATATGCCTATAGTCAACAAGTGTGGAGCCATCATAGAGTTGCACGAAATAACTAATGATGTTCTCTCTCTCTAGGGTTCTTCTATTTCTTCCGTGGATCAAAGCAATTTGAATATGACCCCAAGGCAAAGAACATCACCAGAATAATGAAAGTCAATTCCTGGTTTCGGTGTAAAGAACCATTAAACGCATCATCCAATTTTAGTATCAGTGAGGAAGAAGTCCGTTCAGGAGGAGTAGAGATGTTTTATCATAAGAATTTGTACTTGTTTATTCTCAGCATTGTTCATGTGCTGAAAAAAATCTATAGTTATCAATAAATTCATAAACCTAAAATAAACCACCAGAGGTCTTTTAATCTGAACTCTGCTTCAAAGTGGAATAGAGCTGTTCTGTCACCCAAGTTGCTGCTCCTGACTCTGGATATCTGTTGGACAAAGATCCCATGGGTATCCTGAGCTGCCTGATGCTTTTTACAGGAAGTTGTGATGTACAAGCCAAACTCTCACTGTACTTTAATCCTATTTTATGCTTTGTGAACTTGAAGAAGTAAGCGTGTCTTATAACTGAATACTGCAGACATTATTAAACCAATCTTCAGCACCCTATTTTGTCCGGACCTTTGCAGTTGGAGGCCCTACAAACTACAACCCTCCTTCCTACTCCTATTCTGAACCCACCGAGAAATAGTGCTCAGTTCGGACAGCAAAATGCTACCTTTTTTTCCTGATAAAACTTACATTAGTGAATGTACCTATGGACAACCTAGTTTCCTAATATCAAATTCTAGAATAAGACGTACTTACACACAAGTCGTGGGGAGAACTGGAAAGAAGCAGGTGTCCACAAGAAGGTGAGCCTCCTACAGGTTGCTTGGAGCCCAGAGAGAAAGAAAGAGGATAGAGCTGCATGTGCCACGTTTCTGTTCCCAAATTCGCCATCAAATAAATTATGCCACCTGCCAAAGGGAAGAGAGAGCCTAGAGAGATACTAAAGGTCTTACATGACAGGTGGTCCCCCAAAACTTAGGAAACCAGTAGGAGAAGGAAAGTAGTGTTCCCTCCACCCTCCCAAGCATAAGCCAGTGCATTTAACCATTCCTTAGAGAGTTTAAAATCAGATTTTATACACACTGATCTCGTATACAAGAAATGTATACTTTTCTTCCCTGTGTTTGAAATATTGGGTTTCACCTGAGCTGAAACCCATAGATGGGAAGTTCCTGTCCTCTTTGTCATACCATGTCCTTGCTGAATTTCTAAGTTCTTAATGGTTAGATTTTACCTTTCCACCCTTACAACTAAAAGCTTGGTTAAGCTCTTCATGACTTTTCTGACCCAGGAGAGGGGAGTTGTCAGTTGAACTTGTTCTGATGCAGTGATCGATTGAGTAGGTGTCAGCTAATAGCAAATATGCATGGAAAAATCTTGGGAATTCCTACAGTCGCATTCCCTGCCTTGAGTTCATTGTTCCCAGATTCCTTTAGAAAGGGATTTAGGAAAGAGTTATTGCATATTTGAAATAGAAAGTAAACTTTAAAGAGTACAGCTTAATACTTACAATACAGTAGATACTAGGTCAGTCGTGTAAAAAATAGTGTTGGAATAATCAAATGTTCATATATACACACAAAAAGAACCTTGATCCCTACCTCACATGGTTTACAAAAATTAATTCAAAAGGAGCCACAGACCTCTAGTAGAAGAATCAAAAATACAAAACTTCGAGAAGAAAATATTTAAAAATTTTTGTGGCCTTAAACAGAGATTTTGAGATAGGACGTAAAAAGCATGAACCATAGAAGAAAACCCTGAGGAATTAAATATCCTGAATATAAAAGGATTCTTATAACCCAAAAAGAAGACAAACAACTCCTTTTTTTTTAAATGGCCAGAATATTTGCTATCTGAGTGGCAAGTAAACACATAAG